AAAGATAGTATTAAGCAGTACATGTTTACTGCCAAGCTTCAAAGAAAGTCAGACCACTGAACTGGTGAAAGTCACTGGCTAAGCACCTGGAACCAGAGTTTGTTAAAGTGCTTAAACCTGTTTTTGACAGTAGTAGCCTCTTCTGCAGGTGCAGAGAGAATATTTTCTTCATTGCAGTTAATGTAAAGCTGGATTGCTACCTGCCAAGGTTTGTGTGAAGATGTCACTTTTTTCCATGTGGAAGTAGGGTTGTCACCTTCCTGGCTCCGTCTCCCTCCCATCATCCTACAATCTTCCCATAATGCTGAGAGATCCAGAGGGAGTAGAAGGAGGCTGGTGGGCTAAGACCACCTTACCACACTGTGGCAATCAATAGGAAATCCACTGTAAAAACCAGGAAAGCGTTAGGCTGTGGAGCTACCCAATGCAGTGGAAACCTCTTTAAGGGGGGCGAAGGTGAGGGATGGTGGGGAGCCAGGGCATAGGGGATCAGGAGAGACCACAGAGATGCCAGCAAATCTCTTGAAACCCAGGAAGATTTCAGGGGATCTGTGGGTATTGGGAGCTGTTCATTTCCCCTGCCCATTACTGAATTAAGTTACATCAATGTTAGTCCTACTCTGCACCAGTGCAGTACATCAGCATTAGGAGTTGCACTGGGGTAATTACACTGATGTAGTTATATTAGTGCAATTTTTTTAATGTACAAAAGCCCATACTCTCCCCAGTAATTGTCATTGCATGCAGAACTCTTTGCAACATGAGAACTCCCCTCTGTCTTTTAAACAATTTTCTTAATTGTATTGACAGCAGTTCCACCAATCAGTTATATAACAGTTATTAACTCAAGAGAAATAAACAAATTAGAGTCCCAGTCTTGCCAAAGAGCAGAACCTGCCTGTGCTCTGTGACCCACCCAGGTTGTGCAGCCATGGTGACTACTTTGTATCCTCATGGGGGGGACTCCTTCCCTCCCAGAGGCTGTGTTTGACTCTGCTGAGTTCAACTGACAGTTGGTGCTTGTGGATGAGGTCGGAGAAGGTACAGAGCATGTATAGCACCTCCATGGCCTCTTAGCATGGGGCAGATTCCTCCCCTGTTGCAGATGGGGTGGCACAGCTCTGAAACACAAGTCAAACAAGGTGATGTGAAGGGATTGGGAACCATTAGAATCACTGCACCCCCACGGTAATTAACTGGGGAGAGGTCATGAAGAGGAGGGAGCCAACACACCCAGTTACAGAATTGCTCACTCTGTCAACCTTATTGTGAGTTTCCCAGTATTTGGTAGTTTTCTTAAAGCCACAACTACCAGATCCATGTGATTATTTGAGAATCCCAGCTTTGTTATAAAAGGAATGTTTCTAGCCCTCATGGTTACAGAGAAAAGCCTGGAAATGTTAGCCAAGTGAATGCTGAAGTGAAAACCCTCCACATGTATTATTTTTTTTAAAAAAATCAATGATTTCTAAGACAATCTCATGATTTTTGAACACTTAAGTTTGGCAATTTGGAAATTACATCACCCTATAGAAAGTAGTTAAACACTACCTTAGTCCCCCTCTCACCTCTCTGCTGGATTTGCTGCAGCCCAAAGACTCTAGTTACTGTACATATCTCCAGCCCAGGAGGGTGGGGGTGGGAGACCTCACTTACAATAGTTCTCTGTCCTTGTGCAGCTCCACAGCTCACGCTTGTGGCCTAGTTTATCTTCCTCCCCACTTATACACCAGACCAATTGCCCCCAGCACAGTTTGAGCTGGTGAGCCGGTAATTAATGTAGCTTTCAGGGAGCTACATTCCCTGTACAGCTGGTGCAATAATAACTTGCACGTATCTATCATCTTTCATCTGAAAGGGGCCCCAAAGACTTTACCAAGGTTAACAGGGATGTACAGAAGGACAAAATTGTAACCTTACAATCTGCCCTGAGTAAGGACGGTGTGTAGCTGCATCACTCCAGGAGCAGACTGGAGAATGAGCTGTGACTCTATCACAATTCATCCCATACTTCACCTTGGTTCTGGGGGGGAGTCTATGCACCTGGATGTCTACTCTCTTTGACAAATTGGGGATGGATCCAGGGCTCCTCTCACTCACCCCTCCAGCCCCCTTCCATCCATTTGCTCCTAGTGAAAAATATGGGTAAGTAGCCTGTGCACTGCCAAATGCCCCCCTCTGACATGACCAAGCCAAAATTTGAGCAAGACCAAACAAGGGATCAAGGTTGAGGGTAGAGCTTACGCCTGTGTGGGTAATTAGACTAGATAGTTACAGCCCTTATTGAGACTCCTTGTTGAGTATGGCCCATAGTGATCACGTCACTCAGCGCTGACATACAACCACCTATGAAGTGAACATAGCAGTGGTTTAACACTGCATAGAAACACTACACAACAGTTTAAGGCATGAAGTGAATAAGAATAGCATATCCAAATGAAAATGAATTGAGAATTTAACTAAGCAGACTATAATTACCCAAACTGGCATTTGGCCAGCACACTAGGTCAAATGGCCCAGCTCTTGCACAAAGATCTCTAATACCTTTTAAGATCTTGCCACAAGGCCTTTAATGACTATAAGAAAAGGAGTACTTGTGGCACCTTAGAGACTAACCAATTTATGTGAGCATAAGCTTTCGTGAGCTACAGCTCACTGATGAAGTGAGCTGTAGCTCACGAAAGCTTATGCTCACATAAATTGGTTAGTCTCTAAGGTGCCACAAGTACTCCTTTTCTTTTTGCGAATACAGACTAACACAGCTGTTACTCTGAAACCTTTAATGACTATAGATAGTTAATACATAAATTTTACATCTGATCCAATGTAACATCTGTTATAAATTCATTTCCATTTGTTGGCATTGGTACTTTGATGCTGCGTCTGAAGAGACTTTGAACTGGATTGTTAAAAGTTTGGGATACTTTGGGCACTATAGTTAAAACAGGTAAAATAACAGGTGATCTTAGTGTGTTCCTTAAGTCACTCCTGAGTGAAGCTGGTTAGTTTAATGTAACACTGCACAGATTATGTTCTGAAAGGGCAAAATCTTAAAGCCATAACATAAGCAGTCTAAGGGTATGTCTTCACTACCTGCTGGATCGGCGGGCAGCGATCGATCCAGTGGGGCTTGATTTATCGCATCTAGTCTATACACGATAAATCAACCCCCAAGCACTCTCCCATCGACTCCTGTACTCCAGCTCTGTGAGAGGCGCAGGCGGAGTTGACGGAGGAGCGGCAGCAGTCGTGCATTGATATGAGCATGCAATATCAACTGGGATTACACACACTTAGAGAGGTGTAAGAATGGATGATTGTGTGTTGTACAGATACTCAAGAAATCAGTATAGTCAGCTCAAATTTCTAAAATGTGTAATCAAGATAATACAAAATTCATATAATGATAATGAGCTACTGAAAAAGTAGCAGATGAGATATTCTTAATCTTAGTACAACTATAATACCCCTTGTGTTCAGCAAGATGAGATCATTGGGATACGAAAGGCAATGCAAATAGTTCAGGTTCAGACCGGATTGGTTTTGAGAGTTTATAATTCAAAAGGAAATGTTAATACAGTACTACTTTAACTTTTAGCTACATTGTTAATAATTCTAATAGTTGGTTTTGCCTGTAGAAATAAAATGAATGGATTCAATTTCAAGCATAGTCTTAATTATAAAGAAAGGTGGACTAGAATGGATTGTAGACTTTTGACATTTGGAGCAGGCTCACTGTCCTGTACCCTTGTGCATATTTTTAATCTCCTAATTGTTTAATGTAAGATGCCAGAGCTCTGGAAACAGGTACCAGTTAGCACTTTTCATAAATACATTGTGAGAAATCATCTCTGTAATGAAATAGAATGTTGTTTCTTTGTGGACAGTTAACTGGTATTGGAAAAAATCTGATTTTTTGTCTCATTACTTAATATAGTTATATTAGTAAATGGAAGACAACTAGAATACAATAGATGACTGTTAATACGTTGAGGTTCTTATCTATTGACTTAGTCTTGTGAAGTCTTAGAGTTTTATTTGTAAACCAATTGTATTTTGGCATTTCAGATTTAGACAATAATTTGTAATAGGCTTTAAATCAAAAGTGGTTAAACTCTGTTTTGGATTACAATGCTGGATGTTTTGGCTGACAACTTTAGGTCTTTATGTGGACTTCTACTGTTGCCTTTCTTTAAGATAACAGAGAACTTGTTTGATATATACTGTAAAATGCAGTGTGGAAGGTTCTGAATCTCCTGTAGTTAAGCAACTCATATCTGCTACTCCCCTTGATTATGGTGACACTTTCTGTATACTGGCTTTTCAATCAGAATTTTCAGAAATCGTAGACTCTGGCATCAGACTTATTAATCAGTGCTATAGCTTATTGCACCACCCCCAAGAGCACCTTGTAAACGAAATGACATAATTCTAGGGGTTTTATCTATTGGTTTGAAATACAGGCAGCACATAATAAAGTTGTTGTACCTAGGAATTTTCATTGCATGGGAAGGAAAAGTAAGTGTTTCATATTAACAAATGAATGCTTATGAAATGCATTTTACTTGCTAATCTTTCTTCTGTCTCTATATACTAAATAGTGCTCAATAAATATTGATTCCCTCATCCAAATATGCCCGAAGAGAGCTAAATTCGTTAATCTGCCTCTCTAGGGTACAACGGGGAAGAAATGAAATACAAACACTTGGTGGTTGTTGCCTGCACTCTGCAGGGAGCTTACCAAAGGCACTCACAGCCCTGATATCTGCTCACCACCAGCCTGCGTGCTACCCTTGCCCACCCCGCGGAATAACGCTTGCACAAGCAACGGAGATGGACCGAGTGTAATGATATCCCCCCCCCCCCGCCCTTCTCCCAAGGCGCGCACGCTGGCTCGGGGTCACAGCCGGGGCCGGACCAGCCAGTGCCGCTGCCCCTCGCTGTGGCTGAGACGTGGCTGGCTCGGTGGCCGGACCCCGGCCGGGGCAGAGCGCTCTTACCGATAATGATGGCACAGGCGCTGACCAGCCCGATCTCCTTCTTCAGAGTCACTCGCTCGGAGCTGCTGCCGCTCCCGGGGGCGCGGGGCGGCGCTGCGGGCGGCTGGGCTGCGATGCTCTTCCGGAGGGTCCGGTGCTGAGTCTCCCCAGCCATCGCTCCCCCGCTCCTGGAACCGTCCCCCAGCGACTCCCGCGCCCTCTGCCCCGCTCAGCCGGAGAGCCGCCGGAGAGCTCGCCCGCGGCCGGCGCATGCGCCGCCGCCCGCTGCGGCCGGCGCTGAAGTCCCGAGGAGCTGGGCAGCGGCTGCTGGGGGCGCCGCTCCGGCTCGCGGGGCCACTGCGGGGGCTGCCCCCCACGGCGCAGCGCGGCCGGGGGAGCCCAGTGGGACAGTCCGCCCCTTTCGCTTCTGCCCATGCTCCATAAACCTCAGGCCGCCCCGGGGGCACGCGGAGAGGGGTTTGCACGTGCCCGCTAGGAGAGCGAAGCTGCTGCCCCGCTCGCCCTTTGCCCCGAGCTGGGGTCGATTTCTGCCTCGGAGCGGTCGGGGAGCCGCACTGGGGCGGGAGATCGGGGAGCCGAGCAGGGGTGCGACAGCCAGTGGCAGGGCTGCACAAATGACAGGTGGCTTTTCAGTTCTGATCCGGATTTAAACTAGTGCACCAGAAAACACCCAGACTGTCAAAACCACCCCGAACTGTCCGTGCGCGCTGGCAGAGCTTCCCCAGTACTGTGATGAACTGTCATGGAGCTAGGCAACCTGGGTGGTGCTGGATCTGCAAGGAACCTCCCTCCCTGTGGGATTTGTCATGGTCCTGATGCTGGTGATCTCCTGGTGTGTTCCCAGGAAGGTTTCATAGCGCAGGACCTTTTTATTCTATCAACGGATTGCCCAAGACATGTAATACCTCTCTCACTTCTGAGTGTCTTTCAAATCAGGTTTTGATTCAAAATTTTCTTTAAACCATTTTTGTTTGTTGGCTGGTTGTTTTAGGCTTATTTTTTCTCTCTGACAGAACTTACTAATGTCAACAATTTTCTTATTAATGTTTCAGAGGGGTAGCTGTATTAGTCTGTATCAGCAAAAACAACGAGGAGTCCTTGCGGCACCTTAGAGACTAACAAATTTATTTGGGCATAAGCTTTTGTGGGCTAAAACCCACTTCATCAGATGCATAGGGTGGAAAATACAGTAGAGAGGTATAAATACACAGCATATGAAAAGATGAGAGTTGCCTTACCAAGTGTGTGTGTGGGGGGAGTCAGTGCTAAGGAGCCAATTCAATTAAGATGGAAGTGGGCTATTTTCAACAGTTGACAAGAAGGGAAGAAAAATCACTTTTGTAGTGCTAATGCGTTCAATGTAATCAAGGAGGCCTATTTCAAACAGTTGAAAAGAAGGTGTGAGTATCAATAGGGGGAAATGTAGTTTTTGTAGTGACCCAGGGAATAATTTTCCCCCTGCTGATGGGAGTTGCCTTATGTGAGTATCAACAGGGGAAAATTATTCCCTGGGTCACTACAAAAACTAATTTCCCCCTATTGATACTCACACCTTCTTTTCAACTGTTTGAAATAGGCCTCCTTGATTACATTGAACGCATTAGCACTACAAAAGTGATTTTTCTTCCCTTCTTGTCAACTGTTGAAAATAGCCCACTTCCATCTTAATTGAATTGGCTCCTTAGCACTGACCCCCCCACACACACACTTGGTAAGGCAACTCTCATCTTTTCATATGCTGTGTATTTATACCTCTCTACTGTATTTTCCACCCTATGCATCTGATGAAGTGGGTTTTAGCCCACAAAAGCTTATGCCCAAATAAATTTGTTAATCTCTAAGGTGCCACAAGGACTCCTCTTATTAATGTTAATAGCTATAGAAATGCTTTGCCAGTTCCTTCAAAGTTTTTGCAAAAAACAATAAACATATTGCACATTAGAAGAATAAACTAACATGATTTTAGGTTTATTTCTGAATAATTGTCTTTGGCCACAATCTTATCTTAATAAATTATGTAAGTATAAATGAGTAGTCTGGAGCAATTTTCCATCAGCATTTTCTGGGGCTGTCTTTAAAGGGAGCTTTGAAGAAGTCGGTGCTTTTCTGTTAACTTCAGCTACTTGTTTGATGCAAGAGATTAGTAAACTATGGTAGATGTTAATTAAATCCCAGGAGACATCTAGTAGGATGATGATGGGTGACCTTCCTCCCCCATTCTTGGCCAGGAGGAGGTTATCCATCACAGGGACCAATGCCATGTCCTGACATGAAGCCTGACTGGGAGGGGGTCTGGTATGTTAGCAGGGTATAGTTTGAAATGCTGCTTTCTTTGTGTTTAGATTATCTTGTTTAAGAATAGGAAGTTAGTTGGCAAGGTTCATAGGGCTTGTTAGCTCATCTTCTGTGAAGTAAAACCTAATCTTAATGGTCTCAGGCTATCTGCAGTATCCTACCCCCCCTCCACACCTATAATGGTGTTTTAGTGTGGCTAAGACACAGGCAGATTAAGGTTGCAAACAACAAAATGGTGTTTATTGAGATACACAACAAACTAGGACTCTCTGCAACTAAGATAACACAAAGAATAACTGCTCAGTTGTTAACACAGATGATGGAAATGGGGATGAACCCCAGAGCCCAAACCCTTACACAGTGGGGTTTTACAGAAATAACAGAGAAGGACTATACCATGTCTTGCAGACATTGGACAGGAGAACAGGAACACAGACGGGAACCAGGACCTAAGGGACAGGTGTCAGGAATGGGAACACAACAGGAATTGGACCTCAGGATCTTTGGTGCCAGGTAAGTAGATCTTCAGTATGGTGCCTTCTGTCTTCTATTCTTGATTTCATCATCCTGCGTGCTGAATGTGGACACTATATCCGTGATGATGGAACAGGTGAGTGGAGGTAAGTCAAGGGAACCTTGGTAGGTGTTGCTGGTTCACCTCAATTCTATTCCCTCAGGGCCCTAGCTAATAGCAAGGCTGGTACTCTGGGGGAGGGCTTCTATGCCTCACTGGGATGACCTGCTTTCACAGCATCCAGAGACACCAAGCGCCCCTCAGAGGGTGAACACTCCTTTATATGCGTTGTCCATTGCTAGGCAGATTTTACTGCCAGGAGACAGTACCAGTCCTGCCTTTTCCTTGCTTTGGTGCCAAACTCGAAAAGAGGGCCAAAAAGCTGAAGGAGAAGGGGTGCCAAGATGGAGGACAGGTTGTCCTTTTACCAATCCAAAATGGCAACTATGTACACTTAATAAATTGAATCTTTCCTACCCAACAGGCCCAGAGATTGCTTCTTTAGTATTGCTTGGCCTATTGTGTGCTTTAAGGTGATTGGTAGATATCTTTCCTCAAATGTGGTATTGACAATCTCAGGCAATAAGGGCCCAAATTAATACTGAGCATTTTTCACTAACCTGAAAGAGTGACCTATGCAGAAGGATGGCTTTGACACAAGAGGCCTGGATTCAGTTTTTACTTCTGCCACAGATGTCCTATGTGACCTTGGTCAAGTTACTTAATTCTCTTTGCCTCAATTTCCCAACTGTAAAATGGTTGTCATAGTATTTTTACCTCCCAAAGGATGTTAAATACATTAATGCTCAGTACTGGGGTCTGGTGCTACCCAGATAGTTAGATATGTTCTATATGTCAAATTTCCTATAATACTTCAAGTATCTCTTGCTGTGTGAATGGACTGAATTCACTGAACATTAGTGGGCTCGCTGGTGAGTATGTATTACAGGTCTCCCTCTGTGCCTGATCCACAGAGGATATGAGTCTGTAACAACCCAGCTATGGAAGCTTGGCTCTCTAGCTCAAGCTGGTTTTAGTTCTGAGGTTCCTCAATTCAGTCCTAGGTTTGCTGGCCAAGATAGTGGCCATCATATTAACAGTTCTGAGCTTAGTGCATGGATGCTGTTGGCCTGAGATGAGTGATCTACTCTGTGAAGTAGGTGGACAGTTCTTTACAATAAGCCATGCTGGCTTCTTGGATTTAGGTATGAAAGGGACTTGGCATCAATCAAAATGGCATAGTCCAAAAATTTCAGGTGGGCATCAGTGGCAGAAGAAACAAAGATCTCAGAATGTATCAGCTGTGGAGTGTGACAGGAACTTTTTGTGTTCAACTTGATCTGATTTTTCTTGAAATTTGCACTGTAAGGTTGGTCTGACAAATGAGAAATCATTTCAGGCAGTCAGTGGACTATTCCCACTGAAGGCAATAGAGTAATTGTAAATGATTTTACTTGTTAAAGCAGTTTTATTCTGCTGCTGTCAAATACGGAAGACATCATATTGGTTTTCAAAGGTCATGTTTTATTCTCAAATTGATCTATCGCTCTGTAGAGATGTAGTTTCTGAATGAATTGCTAAAGGAAAGACTGTTAAAATGTACCTTGAGTATCTCTGTTTACTGAATTATTAGGGTGTATTATAATAACTAAGATTTTTACAAACACAATTTCCCAGTGAAGTATGTAGGTAAGTAGTACTATCCTTATTTTACAGATGAGAGAACTGAAGAATAGCGATGAAGATCTGAAATATTCAAAAGTAGCCTCTTATTTTGGTTGCCTAGCCTATGATATAGTATTCAGAGATTCTGAATACCTGCACCTCCCACTGATTGCAGTTGAAGAGGTGAGTGCTCAGCACTCTGAATATCAGGCCTTAAGTATCTACAGTTGGGCACCCAACATTAAAGGGCACTTTTTGACTATTTTGGCTTAAGTGACTTGCTCAAGGCCCAAGGAAGTCAGCAGCCAAGGTGGAACTAGAATTAAGAAGTTCCTGGCTCTCAGTCCTATGCACAGATGACTAGACTAAGCCTTAGTGACAAATTTATCTTTTCCACCACAGTCTATCCCTTCCCAAGTGAGGGGAGTGTTTAAAAAAGACTGAACTTCATAGAGCTAAGAAGGAAAAAAAAATGTCTAAACTCACTGGAACCAAGTTGAACAGAGTCATTTAAAACAAACTGAGGGAGGAGGTTAAGGGATGGCACTGAGTTATGGAAGATATTTCACAGAACAGCAAGGACAAACAATCCTCTGAAGTCGAGGCACACTCACTGTTCGAGGAGAATAAAAAAAACAAATTTAAGGCTAGTGAATTACTGAACCATCTTAGTTTTAAAAGTATTTTCAATATAGTTGTATTTTAAAGCATATTTCAGTGCCTATTTCAAGTCAATCACATTAGACCAATATTGATTGTTAAATGACTTTCAAAGGGACGTGGGCTCCTAACTCACTTTGAGTGTGTGTGTGCATTGCAAAAAAGGGCCCCTGGCAGCAAGTCTCAGAGCCCGGGTCAACTGACCTGGGCTTGTGCTCAGTGGCTAAAATTACTCATGTAGACATTCGGGTTTGGATGTAGTCTGGGCTCTGAGACCCATCTGTCTCACTGGCGTTCAGAGCCTGGGCTCTAGCCCGAGCCCAAATGTCTACACTGCTATTTTTAGCCCTTTAGCATGAGCCACACAAGCCCATGTCAGTTGACCCGGGCTCTGAGACTCGCTGCTATGGTTCTTTTTCTGCAGTGTCGACATACCCTTAGGCTCTTTTGAAAAATTTTACTCTTTACCTTAACATTTCCAGGGTATTTGGAATAGTTCGTGTTACAGTGCATCACACAAAGCAATAAGAGATTTACATGATTTTGTACCATCTGTATATTGACTGAAGTAAATGAAGCTGTCCTGGCACCATGCAAATTGATAGATATGACAGTTTGTTAATTACAAAACTAATTTTGAGTAATTGGATATATTTCCAGCAAAGAATAAAAATAATGTAGGGTGATATTTTCAAAAGTTTCTAAATGACTTTTTGAAATGTTGCCCATAATTCTTTTTGTATTCAATGATCTGCTCATCTGACCAATAGCTCTCTCTAATAAAACATTTTTCATGGAGTTAAGGTATTCCAAGAACCTAATGAAATGTAAGATCAATTACCTTGAAGAACAACCAAAAAGTCCACTAAATGCATAGTTGTTTAGAAAGATATTTTGCTCAGTCTATAGCATGATAAATTTTTTTTAAGATACTGTTTTAATGATACTGTACATCAGTCAGCTTGATAGATTGCTTGGGGATACATATTGGAGAAATTGTGGTGAAAGAGGAGTTTTTTTATATATATATGTGGTGGACATGTCAAGTCATTATAGAATATTGTAATGCAATTTGTAGCCGAATATAATAAATTGTTGGGTATTTATTATCAAATTATCCTTTGGTCATCCTTCTGGGGCTTTCCTTTTGTGTGACCAAAAGGAAATTAAGAATTAATCTATCATCTGCTAGTACTATAGCTGCTAGGGTACTGATAGCCTGTCACTGAAAATGCAAAAATAGTCCAACTATGGGAGGTTGTTATTGTGGAAAAATTTAACACACCCGTTATTTAACACACCCGTTTAGCCAGCAAAAGAGGAGGACAAATAGATATGTGGTTCAGTATTTTATTCAATAATCAGACAAAGAGCATTCACCTGCAAAAAAAAAAAACCAAAACAAAATAACTGAAAACCCTAAACCGGCACAACTGTCTGTTTTTTAAATATTAACATTTGATAGACATAACTGGTCTGTTAAATATGTTAATCAGAGATTTCACTCAATTTAATAAAATCAATAGAAATAACATGCCATGAGATGTTGTAATGATTCTCACTCTGTAATATAACACCTTGCTAAAAAGAGAGATCTAACGTGTATTTTATTGTATAAGGTTTCCTTACATAAAGGTTCACTGTTGTAATGATTATTGTTTTGTTTCTCATATTTACATAGTCCGTATTTGTAAACCTGTTCAAACTTCCTAAACAAACAAAGTGTGTGTGTGTGTGTGCACACAAACACACACAAATTAATAAATTAGCAAAACAACAAAAAAAAAAATACATTGCGTTGAGTTTCTGCTTTTGCTGTGGTAGAATTTTGGGTTTACTTTGTGGTTTTGTATAGTGGATAAAAGTCTTGTTCAGCACTCTTGCGCTGATTTCTGTAGAATACAGTGCACTGCTAGGTTAAAAAGTGAATATTTTAAACTCCATGGAATCAGCTAAACTTCTCCAGAGCTAGTTTGCGAAAGCAGCGTGAATGTTCTGTATTCTGGCCAGTTCAGGTCAGTCTTTACCAGATGTATATTGATAAGTGTGTGGACCTCACTCTCTGATCTATAGGACCTGCCCCAGAATCCTCTTGATGGCTTTCATGATGCTGCATGGATTTTTTTATTTTTTGTACTCAGGTATTTTATTAGTAATAAGAAACCAAAGTAATGAAAAAATAACACTGCCCCAGGAGGACTTGTTAGGAGATCAATAAGCAACTAACAACTGGAACAGGAGGAGGACCCAAACAGCAGTCTAAACTTCCTTACTAGCTCCCCTAGCATTTCAGTATGTACCATAAGTGAATCCAGAAGGATGACAGAATGGAACCCTGCATGAGAGAGCCCTTAGGTCAGAGTATCCACTGAAGCACTGGGATGGGCTGCCCATTACTAAAGGCTGCCACTGTGATGGAATGCCCATCACACACCAGACTTGAAGGGGTTAAGGTAGCCAGGTGGGCCAATTAACTCGCCATTCTACACCTGGGCAAGGAGCCAGGGAGCAGGGACTGATTAAATGAGACTCAGCTGGTCAGGAACAGGAGGGGCCTATGTAAAGCCCAGGAGCTGAGAGCATCTGAGGTCTGCAGGGAAGTAGTTCTGCAGTTACTTCCAGGGTGCAGGAAGGCATGTTTGGGCCTACAGTTACTCCCTGGGAGGAGGGAGTT